TATATTTAATTATAATTATTTTTGTTAGTTATATACTGTATATATAAAGTATCAATAATCTTTATTATATTATTATAAATATTATAAAAAATATATATTAAAAATTATAATAAATATATAAACAATTATTTATAATAATATTTCTAATATCTAAACTTATTTTTTACTCTGCTGTGGTGTTGATATACTCGCCCATCAACACCTGGTGGAGCAGCACACTTTAACTAATATATATTACATTAATTGTTTAATAAATAAATAAAACAACATTTTTAAGGTATGCACAATACAAATAGATGAAATCAGGTTTCGGCCTATAGTAGTGATTTTTTTATTTATCATATCAGTCAATGAGTCAATATTGAAAATTTGAAGTTGGATATTTTTTTGTTGATCTATCTGCTTTTGCCTATTATTAGAGTTTCTATCTATTTTTAGAAGTACTTATTTTTAAATACATGCATAACCAAGACAAAATAGTATTGATATTTATACCATCAGGCATGAAAATAAAATATTAAATAATTAAATAATTTTCAGATTTTAATTTTTTGCTAGTGTTTTTATATCAGTTCATCCCTAAATATTTTTGAGAGTTACTGAAAGTTGCATATACTAACTAATTTTCCTACAAAAATGCATTTTCCACAGAACATGGTTGGACCACAAAATGGTCATTGGAGTGGTTCTTCTGGTCAGATGGGACAAAGCCAGAGCTGTGAGTGTGTTTGTATGTATGGGGGTGATGCAGTGGTAACATGAAGCCAGCAGGGAGGGAATGGTCTTTAGGTGTGGTGAGAGCATTAGTGCAAAGGATTATCAGCCCAATGGAACAGTTGTAAGAGAATTACATCTACGCTTTACAATTCCACTCACTCTTTCATCTAGTCATTAACAGACACAATAAATGCTCTAATCCCTCTCTTTTCACACTTTCCACTCATTCTAAAGGAAAGAGGGCACGAGGAAGAGAAGACGACAGCACACAAAAGGACACAAATACTGAGACTCATCCAGAAGATTTGTTAATTAGGAAAAGAGTTAACTAAGAAACCTAAATATACTACAAAAAACAAATCTCTCAACTGAATGGGCACAACCAGTGCTCTGGTTTGCTCTCATTCTGACCCATACAAAACATCAGCCCATCGTCCAAACTTTGAGATGGCAACACAGATGGGAAAAGTCTGGTTAAGGCCAAAAATGTTAAGCAAAGGCATAAACAAAATTCCTTAATAAGTGGGAAATTAATAAGTGAATGAAGTCAGTGACCGAGAGTGACAATAGAAAACCCTGAGCGGACGAGTTGGAGGGTCACTGAGGATTAGTAGGCCTCCGGTTTCTGCTATAGCTTGTCCTGTTTCGGGGGACGCAGAGCTGACATGGAGGCAGGAAACTGCTGATCTCACATACTAGCAGCACAATACACTCAGCACATGCACACAATCCTAAAGTTCACTCCTCTCATGTAAAAGCCACAGTGTATATAGAGCGTCAAACCTAAATATTCCACCCCATTGGTGGACCAGCTATGTCACTGAACTCAAAAAAGTACCAAATTATATACGCAAAAATGGCTATAAAGTAATTGTATGTGACCAATTACTAAGGTGGAAAAATCCACACCATTCCCTCCTTATGGTAACTCGCTCACCTCCTCCCACATGGTCAACGCAAACATTTTGAGTTCCAGTGAGCATAGTTTCATTTAATTAGTATGTTTCAGCAGTCATTATCCTGAAATGATCAGAACAACCATGTCATCCACTCTCATAAGGTTGACATAAGTTTGACAGAGGATCAAAGACATCAACCAAACCCATTTGGAAGTGCTCCTCATTATCTAAACTTGCCCAGGCAAATGGTACTGCAATGGAAAGAACCAGCAATGAGTTGTTGTGGTTGACTGCTAGTTGAGTAAGATTAAGAATCCCAGATGGAGATAAATGGTTTCTGTGGCTTAATAGGTATACAAGAATTGAATAAAGCAAAAGAAGAGGGCATTAGCATCACATAAAGCAGAGAATAATTACACCTCAGGGTACAGATTATCACTGCTTTCATCAACCCTGTTCTGATGGAATACTGCTGAACTATATTTAGCGCAAATTTTAAGCTTGCGCAATTGCTCATATTTTAGCTGAACATCTAATTTTTTACTTTTGTTTACTCGTAGCCCAGCAAACTCTGATATCTCACTTACAGAGGATTTCTGTATTCCACTTCTGCGCTGTCACTCAATGGCTCGAGGTATTCGAGTGCCCTTTGCACTTTCTTAAGCAAGGAATTCCAAAATTTCACAACCTTTTGACCGTACACCTATGTATGTGAGTCAGAGCTATCGTTTATTTAAAATGCTTTTGTATGTAAACTAGGGATGGCCTAAAAGCATATATTTGTCTCTGGGAGACAGATGGGGATAAGCAAAGCAGTTTATTTACAAGACACCATTTGAAATCTCCCAGAAGAGCTTCAACAGTGTTTGCAGGGCCGTGTGAAAGTGGATGTTTAAACATTTAATGCATGTCACTTCTAAGACCTGCAGTCAAGGCCAAAAATAACATTGTCATTGGAACAGCCAATAACAATAAATATAAACCATGCATAGTTGGTTTAATTTGGGAAAACTCTAGGGATCACAATCAGTTTGAGAGAGGGTATAAAGGTGGGAAACTAAGAGCAAGAAAACAAGAAAGCAAGCAAGAAAAGAAAAGACCAGAGTAACAGGATAGGAAGAAGATCCATCCAAAACCAGTACTTATGGCTCTTGAGGACACACACCCAAGTCAATTACTACCCAGCCAGTCACTCACCACACATTATACACACAAAACTCTAACTTGGTCACCCATAACTCTGGGCTTAACATGTTCCAGTGCAGGAAAAGCCTTATTTACAGTAAAGCACAAGGATTTTTCTATGGAAATATAATGCAACTATGAAAGATTCAAGACCATCCGGCTTCATCAGTGTCTTGTTTTTCCTATAGATCAACCATATGGAGGCCAATAGCACTTTGAAACGTTCCAGAATCTATAGCTGTCCAACTCTGGCAACCTCGGTTTACTGTGAGTGACAGGGTGTGGGCATGAATTCCTAGTGCAGTCTAGCATAGGTCAGGCAGCACGTCTTTGTGTGGTCAACAAAGGTATGCGCTCTTTTATTCATTATGACTGAGAAAGGGTGTGTTTTATTAGTGGAAAACTGTGTCAGCGTCAATACTGATTAAACCACAGTGCCGCGTGCATGTCTGATATTTATATTGTTAAGAACTCTCACCACCACAGGACAGTTTGCCATCCTTTTCAGAGAACGAACGGTTGTCTGACCCCACCCACGCATTTACCCATAGCCCCCTGATCTGGCTATTCGACAATGATTGCCTTTAATCAACAGTACATCCATCAACGTGAGTCAGCTCTGGCCTGGAGCTCTCCTCAGGGAATTCCTCAGTCTGGCAGTAGTTGGGAAGGCTCCTTAATAAACCTAGCAGGAATTCATCAGCCGAGTGAAAGAGGCACTGGCGGGCGGGT